CAGCAGGCCTATACGTCCGGTCTGCTCGCCTCGCTTAAGATGGAACATGTCTGCATCAAACGGATCTATAAAGAACATTTGCATCCAGGCCAGCTGTTCGCGTCATCTGTGCGTAAATCCGCAACACGATCGCGCTCTGCTCTGTCTGGCCCTGCAGGAGGCCAGTGCAGCACTTTAAAATAATCTATTTTTTTATTCTTATGTCCGCTTTTTTAAAAAAAAAACAAGTGCGTAAATTGTATTTAAAAAAAGTTTGTCTCATAATCAAACTGATTGGGCTAATTAAAGGCATGATGGGAGAATAAAAAAAATCAATCTCCAGATATAATTTAGCAGATTAAGCTGTTTGTTTCTCCACACTTCGACTTTGAAGACGCCGTCGTGTAAATTGCAGGTTTGTTTTAAGATAATTGAGTCATCGCGCGTGCTGCAGAGAGCTGACAGGTTTTCATGCTGTCTTTCTGTTTTTTTTTTCTAATGCATCCTGAGTTTTTGTTGGATTGTTGATGAAAGTTGAGAAGCTCAGAATTGCCCTCTGCTCAGACGCAAACATACACACACCCCTTTTGACGAGCGCGCGCGCGCTCCCACACAAACACACGCGGCGTCCCCGGCTCAAATGCTGGAAAAAAAAAATGCGCCACTCTTGGAGCGTCTTTCAAGGCAGAGAGGGTTGGGTGGGTTGGTGGGGGGGAGAGAAAAAGTTGAGGGAGGCAGAAGAGGACGAGCCAAGGCGGATGAAAGCGCCTCCGTCTCTGCTTTTTTCCACACTTTCGTGTTGACGCGCCTGAATGAAACCAATCTAAACGCAGCGCCGCGTCTCTCCTCATTTTATCCCGCTTATTATAAATATTATTATTACTGGATGAACGGAGCGGGAGCACCTCCATGAGACGCTCCCGGAAAGCAGCCTCACCGCTCCCTGGACACCGTGGCTGCCTGAGTTGAGCACCGTGAACGCAAACTGCTGCTTTCAAAGCGAGTTTTCTGGACGACCAGTGGGATTTTATCCGCTCGCTCCGAGAATAAAAACAACAACAACAACAACAACAAAAACGCTCAGGGGAAATCGATCCCCGCCGGTGTCCGCAGCTGGTAAGTGCGCCGCTGGAAGGAGCAGAAACACTGAAAAAAAAAAAATCAAGGAGCTGCAGATGTGAGTTAATGCGAGGGAGAGAATTAGTTCCACCTCGTGTGGGTGTTTGTCTTTTTTTTTCTTTTTTTCTGATGTGAATTTCGTAAAAGGAGCGCGAGCAGAGTTGAGATGCCAGGGCAGGGTTCGGCTCACAGGTCGGCCGATGATCATGAGGTGTTGTCACAGCAGTGATGGAGTGTCGGGACAGAAACCAGTCCAACACGGTGATGCATGATGGGAAACTGGGAATGGGGCGCTTTAAATGAAGCCGAGCTTCAGTTCTGAGCTGGAAAATGCTTTTAAAACTATTTTAAACGAGAAGCGAGCTCTTATTTAAACTTATATATTATTTTAAATGATAAAAAAAGTAGTGTAACTTCCCTGTAATTCATTCTTTTTAATGTCTAAAACGAAAAAGAGGGGGAAACGCCCGCTGACATATTTCATTTCATTATTTATTACTGGATTAAATGGTAGGTTCGGGTCCAGTAACCACCCGGTAACGGCTGTCTCGGGCTCCGCCGTGTTCGTTTCACGAGTTAAGCCGGTGAGAGGCCGTGCCAGCTTCCTGTCTGCACCGGGCCCAACGCCACGGGACTCACTCATTCATCCCCACTGTTGGTGCTGAAAGCAGAGTCCGTGGAGTGAGAATGAATGGATGAACGAAATGAAAGTAACGAATCATGGAGCCTGATGCAGCTCAGTTCATCAAGGTCATTTAATCATAAAGATTTAAAAAGGACATTTAACTTGGCACGCGTAAAAGTATAAAAACTGTATTATTA